CTATCTATCTATCTATCTATCTATCTATCTATCTATCTATCTATCTATCTATCTAATCTATCTGATGTCGCATTGAACTTGGCCTTTGCTTTCTCTCTTTAAATGCAAATTTAGATGCAAATACTCTTTTTTTTTCCCTTGGTAGGATTCCTTGGTTTCTCTATGTAGTTCAAGAACATTATCTTCCTTCCTTCCTTTCTTCCTTCCTTCCTTCCTTCCTTCCTGCCTGCCTGCCTGCCTCCTATTCTTTTTTCTTCTCCCTCCCTCCCTCCCTCCTACTAAATTTTATTTAATAGATTTTATATTACTTATTTCCTCTTCCCTGCAGTTCAGAGGTACAAATAGTGCCTTATTGGGACACAGACCGTGGTCTTCATTTTATATTTAGGAGTGAGTTGATGCTGACCACTCAAAGTCTGTTATTTTCTTGTGATCACAATCCTTACAGGGGATGTTTGCATTTGGCAGTTCTACATTATTCCATTTTAAATAAGAAAGCTGCCAAATTTTAATATTTACATTATTCAATATAAACAAAATAAAAAAAAATTATCATCTAGCACCAGGATATAAATTAGGTCCTAAACACTTAGAAGAACTAAATAGGCAAAAAATTCTCTATCCATTCAACTACCTAAGAGGGAAGGTTTTGTCAACTATCTTAAACTTTAAAACCTACTTAAGGAAGATTTTATTTGGTAAGATGTTCTGCAAAACTGGCACCAAACAAAAAGTATTCTTATTTCTTTCTCTCCTGTACCAATTCTGCTGATATCTAGGGTCAGCCGAACCTGTCCAGCAAATAACCCTATGGATGTTTATTTTAGTGTTTCTCAGCCTCAGTAACTTTAAGGTGTGTGGACTTCAACTTCCAGAATTCCCCAGGCAGCATGCTGGCTGGGGAATTCTGGGAGTTGAAGCCCATACATCTTAAAGCTGCTGAGGCTGAGAAACACTGGTTTATTTCACTGACAGAGTGATTTATTCTCAGGCAAATATGCATAGAACAGCAGTCTTGCAAAGCAGTCATACACAGGCATATGTTCTTTTGGAGTCCTTGGTGCTCTCTGAGCTTGGCTGTTTGCTTGCAGACGTTTCATTACCCAAATAGGTAACATCATCAGTGTTAGTGAGTATGGTGTTTGCCCCCTGTTTATATACAGTAGCTTGCCCTGCCAGTGTTGATGGAGATGTGGCTTTCTCCTTGGTAGTTCCTTGACAATCTGGGTATTGTTAGCAGCCAACACCCAGATAAACAGGGATTAACACCAGATAGGAAATCAAGCAGAAAACAATACCCTAGTCAAGTAACTACTAAGCAGGCAAACAATCAAGCAGACCAACAATCAAGCAGACAAACAATTCCCTAATGAAGGAACTACCAAGGAGAAAGCCACATCTCCATCAACACTGGCAGGGCAAGGTCCTTTATTTAAAAAGGGGGCCAACACCATACCCACTAACAAAGATGAAGTTTCCTCTTTGGGGAATTAAACGTCTGCAAGCAAAAAGCCAAACGC